TAGCCTGCTGGATCTCTTTCTGACCACGCATCCTGCCCCCTACAGCACTGCTGTCCTGTCCCCCCTGGGTAACTCAGATCACGGTGTTGTGGAGGTTAGGTTTCGGTCAGAAGCCGCTCTGGCAGCAGAAACCCGCACAGGCCGCAAAACTTTGCATTACGGACATGCCGACTGGGAGGGGCTCAGAGTCTTCTTCTCTAGCTTTCCTTGGAGAGATGTCTGTTTCACTGACGCGGATGCGTCGACTGTCTGTTCTTCAATAACCGAAATTATCCACGTCGGAATGGAGGAATACATCCCTCACACAGTGAAAGTCCCTAAACCAGGGTCCAACGGCTGGTTCAACAAATCGTGTGACACTGCTCGCCAGCAGAAGATCAAGGCACACAGAACCTACTTACAGAACCCCACTGTAGAGAACAGACAAGCCGACGTCGAGTCCAGAAACAAATATAACGAAGCAGTTCGCAATGCCAAAAACCAGCATGATATTTATAAAAGTTAGGCACAGGGTAATGTCGCAGCGTAATGGCAGTCGGTCTTTCTGGACGCTGGCCAAGCAGATTGAAAAGAACTTCTCACACAGTAGCCTTCCACCACTTACGTGTCAGGATGGAGCTATTGTATTCGACTCAAAGGCCAAGGCGGAAGTGCTAGCCAAGATCTTTGCTGCCAACTCCACCATGGACGTCCCCACCAACGCACAAGTGCCGTCAATTCAAAGAGTTCCCCACACTATGCGGGAGGTAACATTTAGGAATAAGACCGTAAGATGAGTGCTCTTGTCACTCGACATCAACAAAGCTTCTGGTCCGGACTTGATTCCTGCCATTGTACTGAAGAGATGTGCAGCGGAGCTTGCTCCAGTTCTTTCGCGTCTCTTCCAGATATCTTATAAATCTGGCACCTTCCCAGAAAACTGGAAATTTTCTCATGTACAGCCCATCCCAAAAAAAGGATCTAAGACCGACCCTTACAACTACAGGCCTATAGCTCTGCTTTCTGTTATAAGTAAAGTGATGGAGAGGTGCATAAATCGCGAGCTTCTGGACTATCTCGAACGTCACAGCTTGATTAGCGACAGGCAGTACGGCACCAACGATCCACAGGAGACCTCCTAGCTTACGTCACGCAACTGTGGAGTAAACTCATCCAGTCTCATGGTGAGGCTCATGTCGTTGCTCTTGACATCACGAAAGCGTTCGATCAGCTGTGGCACGCTGCCCTCTTACGCAAACTTCCATCCTATGGCCTCCCAGAAAAGCTTTGCAGATGGGTGGCTGACTTTATCTCTGGCCGCAAGATATCCGTCGTAATTGACGGATTCTCCTCTTCATCCCACAACGTCAACGCGGGTGTTCCCCAGGGATCGGTCTTGGCTCCAACACTGTTTTTCTTACATATCAACGACCTCCTTTCCTGCACGATCAACCCAATCACACTACTGTACTTTGACGAACAAAAAGCATCCTAGCGCTCATACAGTTTCGATGGACGGCCAAGTTCTACCAAAGAGCCATTCATTTCGGCTGGTCGGAGTCCAGATCACCGAGGACCTGATCTGGCACGAACACATCTCTTCAATAGCTGCAGCTGCTGGGAAAAAGCAAGGCTATTTGTTTAGGGCTAAGAAGTACTTTTCTCCGCATGACCTTCTCACTCTATACAAGGCCCAGATAAGGCCTAGCCTCGAGTATTGCTCACACATTTGGGGTGCTGCCGCCCCGACTACATTGTCCATGCTCGATGCTGTCCAGAGGAGGGCGGTCCGACTGATCGATGACTCTTCTCTAACAGACAGTCTCGGGACTCTTTCGCACCGGCGGGTCGTCGGCGATCTAGCTCCTTTCTATCGCTACACCAACGGGCTTTGCTCCTCAGAGCTCTCTTCCATGATGCCGTCGCACGATGTGCCTACCAGACAGACCCGCCTGACTTCGGCGTCCCATCCTAACCATGTCAAACTTCGAACATCCAGAACTGGCCGATACACCAACGGGCTTTGCTCCTCAGAGCTCTCTTCCATGATGCCGTCGCACGATGTGCCTGCCAGACAGACCCGCCTGACTTCGGCGCCCCATTCTAACCGTGTCAAATTTCGTACATCCAGAACTGGCCGATACGACCGCTCCTTTGTCCCGAGGGTGTCTAGATTGTGGAACAATCTACGGGAGGCAGCTTTTCCCATTTCTACTAACCTTAGGCAGTTCAAAAATCGTATTAACAAAATTTCCTTGGGATCATCATAGCAGCCGCGATGTTCCGGCATTTAGGCTTCTGCCTGCGCGGCTGTTTCGATATATATAAAAAAAAAGTAGATCGCTCTTCTGGCCACTCAATTAAGCGCCACCATTTGTCTATATTTAAGATATTTCAAACTCCAGAGCAAAGTCTAAGAGCTGGTGACACAAATCCTTTAGTATCCGTTTAGAAAAAGATATTCCACCAGGTATACTAGGTACTTGGGACACAGTGAAAAGTTGGCGTATGGCGGTTAACAGGGTTCGACGGGTAAGTCGATATAAATCCCCAAGCAAGGATGCATCCGTCGCTCATCTGCATCCGCATTTTTTTGGGTGGGGGAAGGGTGTGATGCAGATGGACCAGCTCATGTCAAACAGAGTCAAAGATAATGAAAAAAATTCTCCCAGTGTACAAATGAACATTTTCGTGCTAGACTCTGGCTTAATATGATAATTTCTCATTGTGTGTGAGAAAGTGTAGCATAAATATGACAATGTTAATACGCAGTATGATACTTTGTACCTCAAAAATATGAAAAATCAGTACTTAGTTTAATACTCAAAATTGTCAGACCATAACATATAGCCCGACTTCAGTAGCAAATTTTGAAATATTTCTATCTCCGCATGAGTTACTGGGAATCGATCACTTCTTTTTATATATATTTTTCCGATTTCTTAATGGGTATGTGCACACAACAGTCGGAAACTTTTTCTCATTCTCAAACGTTTTGTGAGCGCTTAAGGAACTACTTTCGAGAACCATTTATTTACTATTGTTAAAAACGCAATTATATACTATGCTCCGTGCACATGTTTTCATTGTGTATTTTTAATTGGAAAATCATATGCAAAATAATTGGTTATCTTTTGTTCTTGCCCTTCTCCCGTATAACAAGCGGATATCACTACCCATCTCGCGGATGAGAATTAAAAAGCGGTATGCAACATGAAAAGGGGGATGTCAGCTAACTGAACAGACTTCGACATGAGCAAGCTCTTCTTTATCATCCCGATCAAAAACGATCATTTTTTCGGAGATTCATGTTGACCCATCTGTCGACCCTTAGGAACTATAATCCACCAGCCGCCATCTTTCACTGATGTCTGTGTAGCGCTGAAAAGCTGAGAATGGATTTTTTTCTACCGGATACTCTAGGGCTTTGTGTTACAGACTTTCCTACTAGAAGATTACACACAAGATAATTAACTTTGAAAACAAGCAATGTTGTGACCATTTCAAAACTAGCGAGTTTGCACAGATAGTCATTAGTCCATGAGCGCGCATTTTGGCGAATTTTCTTAGAGCTCTCTCTTAACAACAACATATTATTGAAGTTGTACGACTAAAAAAAATACGTTAACTTTGCGTACACAACTTGAAGCAGTAACGCGTCCGTCTAGCTATGCAGTTTATCCAGTATCATGTAGGAAAAATGCTGGGTCTATATCGAAAACTAACACTTTTCTCGAGGATTTTCTAGTGAAGGTGAGAAATGCTATAAATATTTTCTGTTTACCGTAGACTATAAGCTTTGCATCGCGGGTATAAAAAGACATATGCAGAATGAGAGTGCATGAGACGGAGGACATTTCATATTCTGCTCTGATAAAGTGCTGCAAGCATTCTTAATATTTATGACCTCCTTTTACGTGCTACAGCCGTAGAGTCGTTTTCAAGAAAATACCACCTTTATATGCAAGGCATCATTCCGTGAGCTGTTATATTTTGCTTCGTTACTAAATAACATGTAGATGGTTGAAACGTTTTCTCCTTGAACGTTTGCAATTGATAGGACTAACGTGTTTAGCAGAGCCATAGAATAAAAAAAAGTATGGAAATGGTGGAAATTAAATATTTATCATTGGGGCAAAAAGCACACGGAGCAAGGTCTGAGGAAGGAACAAAATGTGCTGATACTTTGACTTATTTATACCGCAGGTAGACGCAGAAATGCTGGGACACCGCGGCTGCTAAGATGATCCCAAAGAAATTTTGTTAATCCGATTTTTGGACTGCCTAAGGTTAGTAGTACTGGGGAAAGCTTCCTCTCTCCATCACCGTACTTATAACAGAAAGCAGAGCTATAGGCCTGTAGTTATAAGGGTCGGTCTTGGATCCTTTTTTGGGATGGTTTTGGTCATAAGCAAATTTCCAGTTTTCTGGACCTCTTCAGTACAGTGGCAGGAATCAAGTCCGGACCAGAAGCTTTGTTGATGTCGAGCGACAAGAGCACTCGTCTTACCGTCTTATGCCTGAATGTTACCTCCCGCATAGTGTAGACAACCATTTGTATTGGCACAACTTAAGTGTTGGGGGGACGTCCATGGTGGAGTTAGCAGCAAAGATCTTGGCAAGCACTTCCGCCTTGGCCTTTGAGTCGGATACAATCGCACCATCCTGACACGTAAGTGATGGAAGGCCACTGGGTTGTAATCCATTGACAAATCGTTGTCTACAGTGTGAATCATTTACGGTTGAGGTCGGTTGGATTTCTCCGTGACATTTCTCGATGTCCTTGGCAGGCAACGTAGCGACTATTTGTAGACGCATTCTTTTTGACCACTTTTAATGCTCGTGTTGCACACTTCTCTTGCTCAGCTCTCTCATACACATTGAAACCTGACCGACCTCAACATATGTAGGGCATTAAACGGGCCGCTGTTACATTAGACGCTGAGGCACATACACGCCCAAGTTACATTTTACAATTTTATTTACGACCAGCTAAAATCAAAAATTTATGGTAACTTTAGAAAAAGATTAAACATGGAAATGAAATGACTATTGTACCACTGATAGTTGCGCCGTCGGATAATACTAAACAAATAGCTACAGTTCTGCTGCTCACTCTAACGTCGACAAACTCCGAATCTCAGCCGTTTAAAAAATTGTTCAAACACTTGCCTCTAGTAGAAATCACGGTATTGCGGTATTTGGGCTTCTGCCTTTACCATGAAGTTATGTTGTGATCAACATGAGTTGTTCAAAGCAAGCATGACACTTACTTTACCGCCCTAAGGTTCACTCATCTTATTTCAATTTTCATATATTTGTACATAGTGCTTCAAATTCGATCCTTACCATTGAGATCTCGGAAACTGTGAGACATACTAAGTCGCTTAAATGGGGCAAAGTTGCATATTTAGGTATTTAACATAATGCCGCTCAGTAAGTTTTCAAGTTCAGAGTAGAGACGGTAACAATGGGATTTTCCCAAAACCGTTTTAATTTTACCTTGACTGTATTTTTAGTGGGATTTCAAAATAACTAGCACATTAACGTAGCCACTTTTTCTCCTCTACAAGATGGCATTATTAGAATTTTTATATGACGTTTCGCCTCTTCTCCTCCAGCATCAACTTATTCTTACGGACGCTATCTCAGTTTTTGCACAGGTGAATAGAGTTTTTAATACTGATTCCAAAAATGTATAATACGTCATACATTTATATTTTCAACGGTTAGTTATTTCAGAAAAACTGCCAATGTCTGCCGCCTACAAAAACTAGAATCGTTTGCCTAATACAAAACGAAAAAATTACTAAAAGTCTGCCCAAGACCGTTCTACTTCTTTGAAGCTGGATTTTTTATACGGCTACATTTGTTTCTCCCAGCTACATTTAGAACACGCTCAACGACTTTTAATGCTTAGCAAGAGTCACTACTGAGGACCAGTTAATATTTATGTCATTAACCTAGCCTACATTCCGACAGCTTTCCAGTAAGTCGGATTTAACATACTTTGGAGTGCTTTGGACTTCATTAAAACTGATTTGCGAGCGACATCCGACATTGCTTGGAGTACGCATGCGATGATGGAAAGTTCTTCTTAAGCCGACCAGCCAGGGAAAAGTTTGTGGTACTATACAACATAGAAACAAGCAGTTTCTATGGATAAAACAACAGGAATAAATACATACACGTAGATCTCACAGCAGATTCCTTCAAGCTATTGGCGAGCCAATTCGTGATTTTAGAGCCACAAATACACTCACCTTGTGCTCCAACGTAGCGTGCCTTTTTGACTGAAACAAAACATTCAATTAGTTATGTATATATAGTTATAGTTGTCGTCACCGTTCTTGGCAGGTCAAAGTAAGACGACCAGTATCCCTCTATATATCTCCATCTCCCTCAGACATACACATGCAACTGATGTTGAACACCACAAGGTTAGTGAATATGATCCAGTGAGGTATCAGATATACAGGGTGACTTCGAAGTTGAGTCATTTATTTTAACAGTGAGTAGATCTGATCAAAAGAAATGTTTT